GCGTGAAATAATCGCAGTAGTTTTGCAACAGATGGCAGCACTAATGCTTGCAGCCTACTGCGGAATTAAAAGTTGAATTAAGAAAAAGTATGGCAATAAAATTCGCAAATTTAAAAAATGCTGATATAATATAGATGAAGGAATTAACAAAACAATAATCTGCTTAGCAATAAATCAGAGTAATATATAGTTTGGTTATATTTAGCGTTGTTAGGAATGCTTTCTTGGAATTAGCAACAGGAATAAAAAAGACGCCAGCCGTTTTCTGTTAGTACCTTATATTTTTTGTAATTTGTGTGCCGCATGTGTATTTGGTGGACGTATAAAATAAAAATAAGAAATTCCTGCTATTCAGCTGCAAAAAGGTTTTTTTTTTTTTTTTTTTTTTTTTTTAATTATTATTATTCTGTCTTAGGAAAAAATGATATAGAAAATTAAAAGTGCCGCTAGGCAATCGGGAGTGAGAATGCGTTACTATTTGGTATTATTATTTTATATTATTAAAGTTACGAAATATTTACCAAATTTGATTCTTAAAAAGCAAAGTATATACATCGGTTCAAAATTTTTCTATATATAAATGGAGCTTATTAGCCTAAAGGGCCGTTAGGCCCAAAGGGTCTCAATACGACATTTGTGTTGTTTCACTTTCTGAACTGGATCACTTTCCAAACTGTTGCCACCAAATATTATCACCATGCATTATATTTGAAGAAACTAAAAAAGAAGAACGCGCACGAATGCATGAATGTTTCTCGCACTGTGAAAACACGACGGTACCTAGAGACACCAAATTTCGAATAACGTAGTCAGTCCTCCAACCGAACGTGGGCGCACTTAGAAGCCCGAATTTTGAATTTGTTTTATTATCTGTTTCCTATTTTGTAAAACTTTAATGAATATTTGATTAACAAACTCGACGATTTCAAAGCGAACAATGGCAACATTCTATGGAGGGGGGGGGAATATCTCCAGCCCGCGAGACTGTATACCGGAAATTCTAAAGATAGGCTCTTTTTAAATATTTTAAGATATTTCTGTTGAATTGAATTTTATGGTTTAAGTGCAAAGAGCATGATAGTTAATAAATAAATGTACATACAAAACGTTAAAAAAACGCCCTTTTGAGAGTAATATAAAACCTGAAAGCTTCAGTTTTCTTTATTTGTTATTTTTCTGTCCACTGTTTTAAATTTACTGCTGTTAGACCAAAACGGGCATTAGCCCAAACAGGCTGTTAGTCTTGAAACGAGATTTTACACTGAATCACTATAAACAACATATCACTTTTCAAACTGCTGCCACCAAATATTATCGCACATTATTATTTTTACAGAAATTAAATAATGAAGAATCTGTATGAATGTATGAACATTTTTCGCAGTGTAGATAAAACGACAGTACCTAGAGCCATCGAATTTTGAATAACGTAATCTCTACCCAATCATGGAAACCTGGAAAACCGAATTTTGAATTTCGAATTTGTTTTATTATATATTTCATATTTTTGTAAAACGTAATAAACTTTCAGATTTTATTATGCATTTATTAGTCCAAAGGGGCTTTGTTCCTTGAGGCTATTGTTTTCGTTTTCTGATTTTGCGTTGAATTACAATAAATGTCCGTTTTATTTTTCAAACTGTTGCCACCGAATGTTAGAGTCCTGTGTTATATTTGAAGAAATTAAATAATGAAAAATCTGCATAAAAGTATGTCTATTTCTCGCAATTTGATAAAACAGCGGTACATAGAGCCATCGATTTTTGAATGACGTAATCCTCCTACGGATATGTGCATATGGAAGATCAAATTTGAAATTTGGAATTCGCTTTTTTATTATTAATTTCATATTTTATAAAAGTTTAACGAGTTTTTGATTAACAAACTCAAGAATTTCAAAGAGAGCAATGGCAACACTCTACGGGGGGGGGGGAACCTATTTTATCTCCAGCGCGCGGAACTGTGTATCGGAAATTCTAAAGATAAGCTCATTTTAAAATTATTTTGCGACATTGCTATTGAACTGAATTTTATGGTTCAGGTGCAAAAAACATGATATTTAATAAATAAAGGTAACACACAAAACGTTAAAAAACGCCCCTTTGGACGGAATTTAAAAGCCGAAACATTTCAGATTTTTTTTGGGGGGGGAGGGTTCTAGTATAGTTCTTTTTGGCTTTTTGGGGGGTTGGGGGGTTCTAGGATGATTTTGTAAAACTTTAATGAGTTTTTGATTAACAAAGTCAACGATTTGAAAGAGAGCAACGGCGAAACTGTACGAAATAAACCATTTTTATCTCCAGCGCGCGAGACTGTCTATCGAAAATTGTAAAAATATGCTGTTTCTAAATAACTGGTGATTTTGCTGTTGAACTGAATATTATGTAGCGTAAGGGCAAAAATTGTGATGTTTAATAAATAAAGTTAATACGCAAAATGTTAATAATAAAAAGGGCAAACCATTTTTGCTATCCACCTAAGAAAACTGAACACTAATATGATGAACTGGAAAAAAAAAAAAAAAAAAAAGTAAAAAAAATATAAAAATACATGAAAAAGTTTAACAGTGCATCAGGAATTGTAAATTTTCTTAAATTAAATAAAATTTTGTGATTTCTCTGTTGAATTGTATGTTATATAAGTGTATCAAAAATGATGCTTAATAACGAAAGTAAAAAGGCAAAACAATTGGGTTAGCTGGAGTGAATGCAATAGTAGACTAAGTACACTGGGGGAAAACAGCAAGAGGGAAAACCCTTTTGGGCGACCGTTAAACCTGACATCTCTCAATTTTTTTTCTTTTTTTATTATTATTTTAATCTCAAAGCAGTATAAACTTTTCTCAAACGAGGAATTTTGACATTTCATAATTAAAACTTCACTAATTCCCGAAACTGTGATTTATGTAATCACATGTATGTAATCACATTTATGTAATCACATGTATGCTGTACGGCATTTCGGTAAATAACTTCTTTTAAATCCTAACATTAATTCTCCTTTTCAGTTTTTTGAGCATGCATTATGCATTTTAACGCTCGTCGGGACTTCGGAGATTTTATCGATTTTTCTGGATAATAGATCATCAGTTTAAATCTGGTAAGATGGCATGCAGAAATTATAAAATTAAAAATATGAAACCGTAATTTATGAAATAAAGAACAATTATGATCTAAAGGGTATCAAAATATACAACAAAAAAAGCTTAATATTTATTTGTTTACTTTATTAAATATTCTTTCAACGCGCGCGTGCGTACAGCATACATTACGCATAGTCGCAATTAGAAAATTGCAACCAGAAAACTATTTGATGTGTATTCGTGATATTTATAATGGTGAGGAATTTGATTTAAATCATATCAAAGACGGAGTACATCGAGATGAAATACTACATTTATTCAGGAATTATAAGCCGAATAAAATAAAAACATCTGCCCTGAAGATAAGGAAAGTGTTGACAGATCAACTTGCAGTTCATTGCGCGCCTGGTAGTTCCCCCTTCCCCCCGCAGAGCAGCGTGAAACTGATAAACATATTTCAGAATGGTTAGAGAATCAAAGGATATGCCTCAATCCATTTTTTTGCAGCAATTCCACTTTTTGTTTGATGGACATCGAAACATGCTTTCGTTTTGTAGATCCTTTGGCAGCTCCAGAATCGGAAATTCTTTTTGGCATAATCAAAAGTTCAAGCTTACTTTTTAAAATTGCTCTAACAGTCTGCAAAAAATAACAAGCCGGATCCAATTAGAAGATTAAGGAACAACGCAATCTGCAACATTAACTGAATTGGATAAGTTTAGCCTAGCTTATACCGTCGGTTATACATTGAACGCGCATGTGTAAACGCATTATGCGCATGCGTAAAGGTATTACGAGCATGCGTGAAAGCATTATGCGTTGACGCATGCGCAGAAAGTTTGTAGCTTTGAGGTCCGGGTTATAGGCGTCCGGATTAACGACTTTTGACTGTATATGATTTAAGTTTCTTTTTAAATTCTAAAAATATAATGATAAAACTAAATGACGAATGTTCTATTTAAGGTGACCGAACTGGTTCAAGAAGCCGATATGTAAACAATCATGTAAAAAATGTAACAAACATTCAAATGTAAACAAACATCGTTAGGCTTAGCCTCACTTTAAAATTTTTGATAATTCTACAGATATTGCATGCAGATGAACTAAACGCATAAAAAATTTAACGGGAACATAAGAACAGCATAATACAGTTACTTTTAAAGCAAAACAAATGTACAATTTACTAACATAAAATAAAGAATAAAAGAACTGAGCTCACCGAGCCGGGTAACATAGTGGGCGTATTGCGGCCGATTGCAACCAAAAAGGGAGGTGCACTACATGTTATAGTAGTCCCATACACAAAATTTGAACGTTCTCAAGTTAATCGTTTTTGAGATATGGTAGATACATACATCATAAGTACGGACAGACGGTTACAAAATCTCTTCTGAATTCATTTTAAATCCATTTTACAATCCGTATTGCAAAAAAAGTGTTCTTTATTCTGCCCGTACGCACAGATGTCGCGCGAAAACATCGTTCAAATGATTCGAGAGCGCTCAAAATGGATATTTTCGTTGAAGTGCGATACCGAAATTTTTCTCGAGTACAATACTTTGTACAAGGAAGTAAAAATTAAAAACAATTCCGCGAATTTGGTTAAATTTTCTATGACAATTGTTCTTTAGTAAAAGGTGCCATATTTGCTATCTTGTTTAGCTCTATGTAACTAAGTATTTTTATTGCAAGACCTTATATACTCAATACAAAGATAAAAATTATTTTAAAATAATTGTAAAAATATTATCAGTTTTTTTTCTCATTCGTGCTCTTGCTTAAAATGGCACAAAATCACCTTTTCTGTTCTCGGATATTTAAATTATCAGAAATGGGAATAAAACTCATTGCAAAACGCAGCACTATCATTGCTATCATGATTCTAATGCATAAATCCGCTAGTTTTCCCATGAAAATATCACATCGGTAAGATAAAAGCAACACATAAGGAGACAGATTTGGTTTATTTACATTTTTATCAAGTTTTTATGAGGAAGCAGGATGAAGATTTATTTGGTTTTGCTTCTTCCTATTCTGACATGGGGTGCCTCAAGTAAGTAAATAAATTCAGATCTGTATTAAGTTTCTGTGGTTTACTAGATATTTCTTGAGGGGGAAAATGTATTGTATATAAAATTACACTTTTTGAAAAACTGTAGAAATTGGCGAAAATCGAGCAAATTATTTCAAAAAATAATTTTAGAATGTTCTGTACATTTTTAAGGTTTGTTTTAATTAACACGCTACTTTTCATGTCAGATCTTTCCTGCACTTCTTTCTGTTCGTGTACTTCACCAGAAGAGGCAAATGAGGTGAGTTTAAATAACGAGAGAAAATCGAAGTTTAAAGACAAAGAATTCTGGCAACTCAGGCTTGAAATTCTAGATTTTGATTCTTCCTGATGGAGAAGGAAAATGATGACTACAGCTTTTCATTCGTAGTTACAAGGTAGGCATCTTACCACATAAGCCAGGTTCTTAGTCTTTAACACAGTAGACTCACGATTAACTCGCGTAATACTAGTCGATGACGTCCAAATCCGAAGACAGTGAAAGCAACACTAGAAAAGGGACGAACCAGAGTTATAATTAATAGGAAAATAATATTATTAAAAGTTTACTTATACTTTCAAATTTTTTAATGTGAATGTTTTTTAATGTTAATTTCGTTATGTATGTTAAATCAGAATTCAGAACAAAAAGAGCACACTGAAATAATGTTACAAATTTGATATATACATAAATTTTAGAGAAATTATATGTGAAATTGTAGTATCTTTTGTATAACGTAACATAAAGGGCTTAAAAAAGCGAAGCTCTGCCAAAAAAACTTGATTACAGGGGTCTGTGCATTGAGGTATATAGCTGTCTCGCTAGACTGCCGAGGTGGCCGTTGTGAAAGATGGTGATGGTTTTGGCCAAGGTGGCGAGGGTTTTGGCTATTAAATATTGTCGCCAGATTTGGGAGCAACCGCCAAAAGTCATTAAACTTCGCAACATTTTGGTCCGGTCCCTGTATAACTGTTTTCCCCATGTGTAACGTGTATACGAGCCAGTTTTCCTTAGAAAGTCCTCCACGAAGGCATCCCTCCCCTTAGGCAAATAGTCCTCGAGGCTTTGTTGTGATTAAATAACCTAACCTAACTCTGTATAACTGTTATTTGTACAGCAATTGATTAGGTGTAAATGATCCCTATATGTAACTGTAACCGTATCCAGCCCATATATGGAACTTTAACTGTATATGACTTTTAGTGATTTCGCGAAATGAAAGGTACTAAAGATTTCTTAACGGCTGGGAAGAAACTGTTTAAGACCGAAAACAGCATTAGCTCCGAGTTGTTAGTTCCGAGCTGACTTCGGAGCAGTGAGATCTCCGTGAGAAATCGCCTTTTAGATGTTATTTGCATTACGTTGTGTTTAACGTTCTTAATAAATTCATGTATAACTGCTGAATGTGCTCTGTGATACCGAGCGATACGAATGCTTTAGTGGAAAGTTCCAAAACTGTAAAAAGTTTCTTTTGTGAAAATAAATTTTATCAAGCTGTCGTCGGGTCTGTATGCATGCAATCCATTATGAATTTGCACGCCCGCAAAATAAATAAATAAAAAACATTAAAAAAAATCTGAAAGGTTTCAAATTTTAAATTACGTCCAAAGGGCCTTTTTTTTTTTTTTTTTTTTTTTTTTTTTTTTAACGTTTTTTTGTGTTTACCATTATTTATTAAATATCATGATCTTTGCATTTAAACCATAAAATTCAGTTCAACAGCAGTGTCGCAAAATAATTTTAAAATGAGCCTATCTTTAGAATTTCCGATACACAGTCTCACGCGCTGGAGATAAGAATGTTTTTTTTTTTTTTTTTTTTTTTTTTTTCTATACAATGTTGCCATTGCTCGCTTTGAAATCTTTGAGTTTGTTAATAAAAATTCGTTAAAGTTTTACAAAATATGAAATCGATAATAAAACAAATTCCAAATTGGGGCTTTCAGATGCCCATATTCGCATTAGCATTATGACATTCAAAATTGGGTGGCTCTAGGTACCGTTGTTTTATCACCAATGCTAGAAACATATATACATTTATGCAGATTCTTCATTATTGAAATATAATGCAGGACTCTAACATTTGGTGGCAACAGTTTGAAAAGCGATACGCCGTTTATAGTGATTCGACGCAAAATCTCAAAACAAAAACAATAGTCCTGCAGGGACAAAGCCCCTTTGGACTAAAAATAAATAAATAAAGATGAACATCATTTGAAATAAAATAAACTGAGTTATAAATGACATAAAAAAGCAATATTCACATATAAATTTGAGCAATATCACTTACTTTAAATTAGCGCAAAAATGACTTATAACGATTTGTTTTTAGGCAGAATTTTCCCTCCTTATAAGACATTGTGTGATCGTGATCTTATCTTGTAAAGCTTCATCCCAACTCTCAGAGTACTTTCGTCTTGTTCTTACAAGTATTTAATAATAATAATAATAATAATAATAATAAAAAAATAAAAAACTGAAATGTTTCAGATTTTAAATTACGTCCAAAGGGGCGTTTTTTAACATTTTGTGTGTTACCTTTCTTTATTAAATATCATGTTCCTCGCACTTAAACCATAAGATCCAGTGCAACAGCAATATCGCAAAATAGTTTTAAAACGAGCATATCTTTAGAATTTCCGATACAGAGACTCACGCGCTGGGGATAAAAATGTTTTTTTTCTGCACAACGTTGCCATTGCTCGCTTTGAAATCCTTGAGTTTGTTAATCAAAAATTCGTCAAAGTTTTAAAAAATAGGAAATCGATCATAAAACAAATTTCAAATTTCAAATTTGGTCTTCCACATGCTCATATTCGTTGGAGGATTACGTTATTCAAAATTCGATGACTCTATGTACCGTTATTTTATGACAATGTGAGAAATATACATACATTTACGCAGATTTTCATTATTTAATTTCTTCAAATATAATGCAGGACTCTAACATTTTATGGCAACAGTTTGAAAAGTGAACCGACATTTATCCGTCCGACGCAAAATGCCAAAACGAAACTAATAGTCCTTCGGGATTCAAATCCCTTTGGACTAAAAATGAAGGCCGTTACTTAGTCTCGAAATTCAAGAATGATGGCTGTGCATTGGTTTATCTTTACGATTGCACAATTTACGTTTAACGAGTGATTTAACAATGTTTACAGTTTAATTCTCAAACGTTATAACATAAACTGTTATCATTCGTGCTTTTCTACGAGTTCTTTTTTCCTTTTTGGATTTTTCGTAGACAGTTTTGTTTTACATTGATGATTTAGCAGAGATTCATTCTTTACTCAATATTCAAGAATTCTGACAAGACATGAAAATAAAAATGAAAATTTCGATTTCGGAACACCCTGCACGTACAAAAATAAAATTGAGTACACTTTTAGCACATTTAAAACATGATAGACATTCAAAGACTTGAGTGTCCATTTAAAAAAAAAAATGGTTATTTATTTCTAGGACTCCCTGTATTTTCTTCAAATCAGTTACTTTCAAAAAAACCAGAATTATCTAAAGAAATTCGTGAAGATAACTATTTTTTAATGTGCGAACGTTCCTTTAGCAAATATAATGCGAAAGGAACGTTCATAAGTTAATATAAGTGAACGTTCATCGGAATATAAGTGAACGTTCAACGGAATATAAGTGAATGCTAACTTTAGTTTGTTGAAATTAATTCAGATAATTTTACTTTTAGAGGAAGAGAGAAACCCCATGGAGAATGAAGGTCTCTTTGAGGGAGATATTATGGGCATAGATCCTGATTCAGTAAGTAATGAAGATTATACTTTTCTTCTTCAGGAACAGCTATTCCATGTAAGTTGGATATGCGTGTAAATCAATGTGCCACTGTTTTTTCTAGGATAGGAATGCTGTCCCGAGAGATTCTCAGCGATGGCCAGCTGGAGTAGTGCCCTACGAGTTGCATCGTTCTGTTTGTAAGTAGCATCAAATAACTGAAATAATTTTTACTAAGGGTTCTAAATGGTGCATTACAGAACTTAGACATGCTAGCTAGAGACGCCATGACACTCACTTGCAAAGTATTAATTTTAAGATAAATATCATTCAACATTGCGATAAATATTCTTAGCGAGTAATTGTTAAAAACATGCATTTTAATTCTACTTTTAAAAAATCTGTTGTGTACACCACATGACTTTCTTGTACAGAATATTAAATTATAAAAATATCTTGCATTTCGTTTAAACGTATTGGATTGAATTAAATCTACTTCGCCGACAGCACATAAACCACAATAGAATAAATGCATTCTTTAAAATTCACTCTATTTGTTTACCATAGCGACACTCTGGCGCTAGGTTCACTTAACAGTATTATATTTCGTTCATATTATAACTCAAAATGCACAAAATTTATATCATTTAAAGAATTATCTAATCCTTGCCACTTGTTCTATTGAAATAATATAATAAAGCTAGAACGATGTATAAAAGAAATTAAGAAAACAAAACAAAAAAAAAGAAACAGTTTTTCACAGACGATTGATTATTTCTCATTCAATTAATTCAGTTCTCACTTCGCGACAAGGCAAAAATACATAAACACCCAAAATATCTGTATTAAAAATTACGAAGTAAATCTTAAACACTTATTTCCTCGAAAAAATTCCAGAAAGGATTAAGCAAGATTTAATTGGCAATAATAAATGAAGGCGTTATCTTTGTTGTTGCGAAGCTAAGTTTCTCTAGATTGGCAACAAATCCACTACTCTGCTGTTTTAAATGTAAACAAGCAATGGCCGCCATCAGAAAAATTATTAGGCTTAGCGGCCCTTAAACAATTTTAAAATTGTTGATAATTCTAAAAATACTGAATACAGATTTACTAAAGGCATAAAAACCTTAACTGGAAGATAAGACCAACATAATTCAATCCTTTTTAAAGCAAAAATGTACAATTTACAAACATATAAGAGTAAAGAAACTGAGATCACTGAGCCGGGTAACAGAGTGAATATATATATAAATATATTTATATACGTTTGGTGCGGCCGATTGCAACCAAAATACGAGGTGCACATTTACATGTTATAGTAGTCTTATATGCAAAATTTCAACGCTCTGAGGCTACTCGTTTTTGAGTTATGCGAGATACGTACGTACGTACATACGTTCATACAGACGCCACGAAAAATTTTCTTCAGAATTCGTTTTAAAGCAGTTTTATAATTTTTTTGGAGGAAAAGAGTCTTTTATTCTGTCCTTACGTACAGATATCTCGCAAAAACATCGTTAAATTGCATTCGATAGCGGTGAAAATGGATATTTTCGTTGAAATATGCTGCCTAAAACTTTTCGCGATTACAATACTTCTTTTTTACTTCGTACAAGGAAGTAAAAAAGTAGGTCAACCACCATGGTTAGTTATGTATTGGGCCTCAAACAGCTGCTGCCTTTCAACTGTTGCCAGAACTTACATTTTGCAAGCAGCCGCCCTGTTCGATTTATTGGGGATTAGCACCGCTGGCTGAGATATCTAGAGGACAGGTTCGAATCCTCGAAATGGTTTAGATGCTTGTATAATGTTTGTGCGCTTGGGAGAACTTAAAATACCGGCTAGCAAAACGTCACCTCGAGTTATTAGGTAGTACGGAAAGAGGATCCCTCGGATCCGACGGTTTCCTTTGAATCCACCCCTCGGGATATTTTCCTTCAAATTTGGGACAGAGCTTCCCTGACGTGCCACAGGTTGCAGACGCCTGCTCTAGATCATGGCTTGTAAGACAGCTACAATGCTAATAAAAATAAGTACTAAATGAAAATAATTACTATAATATATAAACAATAAAATTATATCGAAGAGTTAATTTATGTGGATTGCAAAAGTTGTAATGTTCTAATATCTTGCTTTCTTATTGCGAAAACATTTATGAAAAATATTGTTGTTGGTAAATGTTGCTAACCAAGCAAGAAAACTGCACATTGCTGTTGTTATGTTATAAGGTATTTTCTCCCGCCTCCCTAGCGTGACTTCGTGATGTAGTGGTTCTGCACGCTGGGCCGGTATTCCAGAGGTCCGTGGTTCGATTCCCAGCGAAGGCGTTTGCTCAATTTTCATCTCTCTGGCTTTTCCAATTAACCTAAGGACTCTACAGTGGCGCCCAAACTGAAAGGGTGATGGATGATGATTCTCCTCACCCGGGATTTGGCGATTGGGTCCCCTAAAAACCCCAGTCGCCCTTTAATAGGGGGAATATATAAGGTATTTCTCCAGCCTTCCTAGCGTGCCTTCGTGGTGTAGTGGTCAGCACACAGAGCCGGTATTTCAGAGGTCAGTGGTTCGATTCCCGGCGAAGGCGATAGCTAATTTTTCAATCTCTCTTGCTTCCAATTAACTTAATGTCTCTACAGTGTAACTGAAATGAGTTGTTGACACACAACAATCAACTGAAGTGAAATTAGTTTATTGGTACTAATCGTTGCAAAAACAATATTATCTGCACCTTTTTGTTATCTTTTAATTTGAAGGAAAGAATACGTACTCTGCTTACGAATACGTACTCTGCTTACAATTCGAAATACATATTCTTCAAATGACATGTTTGTGTACAAAGAGGGTGTATGAATGTATAGCGTAGTACGGCCATATTCGGACCTACGCGAATGAAGAGGAGAGAAAATAGTTCACTGTATGCGAAATCGTGTTTTTAGCAGTCGACTCGTTCTTAAAGTTGACCCGTATGAAAGTACTGCTGTATTATTTTTAAAAGAAGTAATAATATGCCTCTATGCAGTCTTCCTTCAGTGAAATTCGTAAAAATAATAATAATCTGAAAGTTTTCAGATTTTATTTACGAAATATAATAGTCTTCGCACATTAACCACAAAATTCACTTCAACAACAATATCATAAAACATTTAAAAAGAGGATATCTTTAGAATTTCCGATACACAGTCTCGCGCTGGAAATAATTCTTCTCCCCCCTCCCCGTAGAGTGTTGCCATTGCTCGCTTTGAAATCGTCGAGTTTGTTAATCAAAAATTCGTTAAAGTTTTACCAAATATGAAAATTACGAAAATCATATTGTGATTGATAAAATTTGTTATATAAATAAGAAAAATTAGTTAATGAGATGGATGTTTATTGACTGCTTTGATGATTTTTACAACGCATGTTGCAGTTGACATAAAAGATAAAATAGCGGAAGCCATGCAGCACATTCAAGAAAGGTCCTGTATACGGTTTGTACGCAGAACGAACGAGAAGGATTACATCAAGATATACAGCGGCAATGGGTATGAAGCCATACTCTTCTAACTCATAATGATTATGTACAAGGTATAGTTCAATCTCATCTGACAAAAAATAGAACGAAATAAGCAAACTTTATGGTACGAGCGGAAATGGTTGCTTTGAAGTAGGTACTACAGGGCACTGTTGAGAGGTCTGTAAAGCGTTCTGCTAGCGTAATTCGTCCTTTCTCGTGCGGTTTCGAGTAGTATGTATAACTACATGAACGCGAAGCTCGCCGGCGGCCTAAAACGGGGCAGTTATTCAAAGGAAGCACAGAAAGGATCCAAGTACCTCTTTTCGAATATCTGCTCCGTTTCTGTCCTCTTCCCCATAGATAGAATGCTTGTTGGTGAGCTCTGCTTTCGTGAAGCGATACATGCCGCTTGAAATCCGCACGGGGAATAACGATTTACGTTGGGTGATCGCTTTTACCTACCGAATAACAGCACCCTGTAACACTTCAAGTCACCATTTTTATATATATGTTTCATCTCAAAATCTGCTTATTTTATCCTCTCTACAGCTTTGCCAAATATTTTTGAATTACTCTGTATACATGTGTCTGATATTATTCTTTTATTTTTTATTTGTCCTTTAAAAGTCAATAAACTGTTTCATGTATGTCTGTACATTTCAGTATGGATTTTTTTCCAGTTTTATTTTTAAGGGCATTAAAATTTTAACAGAGCATTAATCGGTAAACATGCCAACATTTTTGTATATGATATACAGGAGTCTTACTATGCACTCTTGCTGACAGGATTGTTTTAATATTATTTACGTCTTTTAAAGTTAGACGTAGGAAATGAAGGTTAAGCTAATAATTTAAAGTAAAAATCTGAAACATTACGCCCAAAGGAGCGTTTTTTAACGTTTCGTGAATTATCTTTATTTATTAAATATCATGTTCTTCGCATCTAAACCATAAATTCAGTTCAACAGCAATATCGCAAAATACTTTTAAATTGAGCCTATCTTTAGAATTTCCGACACACAGTCGCGCGCGTTGGAGATAAAAATGTTTTCTTTTCCTTACATGTTGCCATTACTCTCTTTTAAATCGTTGAGTTTGTTAATCAAAAATTCGTTAAAGTTTTACAAAAAATGAAATAGATAATAAAACAAATTCCAAGTTTGGGCTTCCAGATGGCCCGGCCCATATTCGGGTCGAAACGTACGTTATTTAAAATTGGATGGCTCTAGGTGCCGTTTCTTTTATTACAATGCGAGAAACATGCATACATTTCTGCAGATTCTTCATTATTTAATTTCTTTAAATTTAATACAGGTCTATAATATTTGGTGGTAATAATATGAAAAGTGAACTGACATTTCAGCGCAAAATGCCAAAACGAAATTAATAGTCCTTCTGAAAAAAGAAAAGAAAAGCAGCGTATGGTTGTCTCTTGTTTATTTGACAAGTTATGGAAGCAAAGTGTTTTCTAAAGCCTGAAATTATCGCATTGGGAATCTAAATTTGTTGTAAATACCCTGTGATTTGGTTTCCAAAAGCATACTGAGGCATTAACTATAACTTTCGAAAACTATATTTACAAAAATGCGGTAAAATAACCGAATTATTTAAATTTACCAGAACATAACAAAACCATTCCTTAGAGTGGATTACGCCACAAATATATGACTTGTGGACTAATTGCAAACGGAAACGGCTAACAGATAGATCATCGTGAAGAGAAATCCGTCGAAAAGCGAAGGAATCTTACATATCAAGCATATTTTAATATACAATTAAATTTTTACGATGCGGGCAATAAAATTACTACACTAATTGTAAACAACTGTCTTCTGTTTTATTAACTATAATTTTTTTTAATTTGTTCTGGCCTATTAAATACATATTTCCTTTTGCTTAATTAATATTACGATTCTCCTATGGGCCTGGCTTCAGCATTTTCGCGCTCTAGCTATCGGTCTGATTTACAGCTCATATATATATTAAACATATTGATAATTCAAAGTTAAATATATCTTTTTCATTTATCATTTATGAAAAAAATTAGCTTGCACCGTCCGAAAATCTACACCTTATGCTGCTGTCTTTGTCTTAATCTCATCATTTAATTCACTCTTCAAACTAAATCTCTGAAATCTTCTTTCATTAACATTCTAGCAACACACAGACTCACAAGAGTTAATCTCAGCACCATAATTTCTCGAAATTCTTTTCCTATTTACTTTCCTCCCCATGCTAAATCTTGTTACTATATTTAAAAAGATTCGCTCTTCTCACTATTCTCTTGTGTAGAAATTCAGTTATTTGAAAACTGTAGTGATACGGATGTCTTTTATTCAGCAGCCATTTTTTTTTAATCCCAAAGAAGAGGGACCTATATCAGTTGCCTTCGAAATCAATGGAGTTTTAAGTAAAATCTATGCTAATCCGATTTTACGTTTCAAATAGGCGTCTGTATCTCCCACCTATATTTGAAACTACCAAAAATTGCTATTGTAAAAGGTCTTTCTTTCTTATGCTCCTTGATAAAATTTCGTAAATTTTTTATCTTATTCTTATGAAAAACATCTTCATGTTAAAAGTAATCGTGATAACTCTCACTGTTATCTCCTTTTTTCCCCCTTTTATAATTACAAAACTGCTCGTATTCCGTTACAGTTCAGTATTCAGATTACTTTTTATCTCCTATCAATAAAATTCGTTATTCGGTCTTTCAAAAAACTCTGTTTCATGTTTTATATCTTGGAAGATCTGTAGAATTTGTTGACAATGTAATTCACCATACATAGGCCAAGTTAAGAAAGCATTAATGTTTCTCAGTAAAGAGAATGAATCTATGCCCCAAAACAAAAAAGCAAGCAAAATTTCCATAAGAAAGTATTGTTGAGCTCTCAACCATTTGTCTAAATTTTTCTGTTAGAATTCTTCTCGAGACTTATTCTGTTAGAGAGTTATATTTCCTTAAAGACTTCCATATTCGCTAAAATCTTACAAATTTAGTTCATGATTTATATTCGAATCTAGTTTTTTCAGAGCTTATGAAAATTTTTGATTTCGTTTTTCTTTCCTTCGTTTTATTCTATAAGCAGTATTAGGACTGGTATTTTCTGTTATCTGTATTTTCTGTATTAGGACTGGTATTTTCTGTTATCTGTATTTTCTGTATTAGGACTGGTATATTTCTTATTTTGCCTACTTAAGTGACGCTATTTCCGCCCTGCCCCGTGCAGAAGATTTTTGCTTTGAGAAGAGAAGAGAGACCCTATACCATCTTCTTTCGAAATTCAATCTATTTTTCTGTAAACTTGTAAGGATTATGTTAATTTTATTAACAGTTAAATTTTAAGTTGAAGTTTCTTTCCTGTCAAATTCTTAACTTCAACTTACTACTTCCAGCCAGAACGTAGTTTTGGAATCACTCTGAATACTTAATGAGAAGGAACGGTATTTAAACCGCGAAGTCTACTTACAGAGTTAGAGAGAATCAGAGTTTCTGATTTGCGCTCGTCTGCCTTTTGGCTGCTCTCTCTCTCAAAGCTGTTATTACGCTCGGCCGTACTCAAGCCCTTGATAAGCTTCATAGTCAAATAGAGTTAAGGGGCCAACTCGATTAGAATCTTGATAGCATCGGTTATATCTCTTTAGTTAATCTTAGTTATAGTTTAATTTTGAGTCTCTTAAGTTCAAGCCCAAGTGTCGGCTTTTATTGTACACTCCAAGACGGAGTTTTTTTTAAATCTTATTGGAACAATCAAGGGTTAGTTACCCTTCCTTCTTGTTGTTTCTTGTTGTACGAACTTAAGCGATTATTTGCTAACTAGTTCTTAAGATTCGTCACTTTCTACAGTAATTGAGAAATACACTAGTGAGAATCTTACAAACTAAAGTCTACCTAGGACTGAATTTTGACTTTTTTCGAAACCAATAAGTTTTATGTGTTTGAATTCTGGCTTTCCTTCTTCAAAACTCGCGGACTCAGATCTGAAGAGATTATGCATAGTTCGACGGATTCAAAAAAATAAATCAACTATCAAGCAGAGTTAGATTAAGATTGTTTGGAGCTCTGAACACAGCAATTTTGCAAGGACATCATAGAACACATAAATTCTCTAGATGGCAGGAAAAAAAGCAATAAAAGGGTCCTTTTTCTCTACCATCAACTTCTCGAGGCTACCAGGTCATTATTGCATTCTTGGACAAAAGGAAAGGGGATGAAGTTGGGAAAATTTATATACTATCACTTATAAAGCGCTGAAATTCTTTGGCCGTGATAGAGTCATTGAAATCTGTCAGATCAGGAAGGTAAGCAACAATAAGAGTGTCCAGTGTAACGTCATGTATCAAGGTTCTAAAATTTCTCCCTATTTCTTATTGGTAATGTCTTCCAGGTGTTGGTCTTTCTGGGGTCGAATGGAGATTGGAGAGCAGGAGTTATCCTTGGGCTACGGTTGTGAATATCTTGCAACAATAGTTCACGAGCTCATGCATGCCATAGGATTTGAGCATGAACATAATCGTTCGGATAGAGATGATTACCTTTATATCAATTGGTATAACATTCCTAAAGGTAAGTATGTAAAACCTAAAGCTGAAAACTTTCTTCAATTTTTTTCAATTCGAATAAATTTATTTTAAATGTCCAGAAACATTCCTGTCATTTCTCGAAAGCACAAATATATTAATGTCTTAAACGCGTTACTGCTTAGGAAAGCATAAGAATTGACTGAAACTGTTTTATGAGAAACTTTCAAATATAAACAAGAACTTTGATGCTTTGCTTTTCTAAGGAATTCAGTAAGATTATGACTTTTTAGAACTCTTTAGAGACTCTTAGAAGAAAGCGTTTCAGACATTTAGATTCTTGAGTAACCAAAGTGCCATTTTGTATCAGATTTATTCAAGACTTAACAATTAGTTTGGAGGTGAGTGTTTTAGCCTAGAGCAGGATTCACGAACTTTTAAAATTTTACCACTTAATAAGAACTACTTAAATAAGAATAAAATATATATGCACCATCACATTCCAATGTATTTACCAAAAGGGCGCCATTTTATATACATTTTGAACATTCGTTTAAATCTTGTTTTTGACAACTGTACCACCAAAAATAAAGTATTGTAATTTGTTATTTGGTAGTACATATACTATAGGTTAAGAAACTCTGATCTAGAGTATATGATTGGAGCAAATCTTTTAAAGAAAGCAGGATGTGGGTTGAAGATAAACCATGTGAGTCTTAACCGATCAAGAGAAGCTATTGCTGTTGCACTAGTTTGGTTCCAGTGGAGAATCACCGTCAGAGAACTTGCTAAGGAACTTAAAATAATCGTTGTCACTGTAAAACATTAATTAAAGATTGTCTTAAATTTATCATAGTTCTAGGTAGTTTCCCAATCTTTTGATGTCTGAGAAAGAAGAAAGTGGTTGCAGTCATACAACTTTTCAACATTTTGAGAAGGAAAGAGATCTGTTTTCAGATCTGTGAGTGCATTATTTCATTATGATAGAACGAACAAGCATGCAATGGCAAAGAAATACCAATGTAATGAGGAGGTTTGTGTTTCTGTACTACAATGGCTCAACAAATGCTCATAACTTTTCTGCGATTAACAAGCCTCCTGGACATTGTAACAGTAGAGGTGACTATATATAAAAACAGAATCGTTTCATTCTATTCGGTAAAAAAACTTTAGCTGATAATTTCCTGTTTATATCCGAACGTCCCTCGTATTTTCAAGTGACAATGCAATTGACGTCAGTGCAAACGACGACAATGCAATTCCGTGACAATACAATTGACGTCAGTGCAAACGACGACAATGCAATTCCGTGACAATACAATTGACGTCAGTGCAAACGACGACAATGCAATTCCGTGACAATGCAATGGTCGTCTTTCTCACAGATACTTAAAAGCAGGTTAAGATTATCGTGAGTAAAAATCTGTAAATTTAATAATTCTACACCGCAAATATAATGCGCTAACAGTAGAGTTAATACGAATGAATTAATTAAACACTATATGCATTTAAGAATGCGTCTACTATTTCTTATTTATTGGTACGCTTACTTCCAAAATAGTGAAAAAAACTTTCCCAAATAGTGTTTAAAAAAAAAATTTTAGGACTTCTTGAAGTAAAATTTAAAATTCCAAGAAGATATATATATATATATTAATTGCAATCAGAAAACTTTCGCTTACCATCCAAACAGCTCAAAGAGTTTACCGTTAAAGTTTCAAAAGGTTAAATTTCTTTAAAAAATACACAGACTGCAGAATGAAAAGAAATTGAAGGCTGATTTTAGTGTGCAGACATCTCATTAATGCTTGTAACAATTTACAAGTATAATGAATTTCCTTCCCTTACCGCACGCCTTCATTGTGTAAGTGGAAATCACGTCCTGCTGGCAATCAGGAGGTACGAATCAGGAGTACGAATCACGGAGGAAAATCACTGCTAAATTTCCATGCTTTATGTTGCACGTTGGGAGGTCTGGAGTTCGAATCCTGAAATAATACACATTTTTCTTGTTTCCTGTTTCGAGAAATCTAATGACTCCACAAATGTTCAGCTAAGTATTTATAACAGGCCCACTAACTGTATCCTTCGGGGAATACTGAAAACATAATTTGAAATGTTAAAATTTTAAGGTCAATTGTCAGACTTTGGCTGAAGATTTTCATTGTCCACAATAAGATCCTCTGAATCACGCTGTTAACATTAAGCATACCGCCCTAAATGAGCCATCTTGATTCATGACAATGGGGAATCCCATGCGGCGCGAATAATCCAGCAGATGATTAGAGAATGAGGTCTGGATGGTTTGTTCCATTTATCCTATATTCAACAGACATTTCTCCAACATCTTATCATACACTCCGATTTCTACAGCACTTTTGTGATAAACATCATTCCGAAATATCGACCAGGTCAATAAAGTCTCATGAGTGTTTTTGCATCCAAGCTCCCAATAATTTGTAAAGAGAATATTGAACATCTGATTCCAAGCAGGTGAATCGTTGTTGATATTACTACGTTTTTTCCTCTGTCGTTTCACAACGACATAGCTTTGCGATACATTTGATCTATAGGGTCGGCACTGTGCCACGGATCGGTAAAATCTTCGTTTCAAGGAAATACGAGATTAAAATTTTTGCATGCGCATGGCTTTGGGGACAGTCGTGTTATGTCTTCTACATAATATTTCGTTTAAATGCATCTCTTTTTTTTATGGCAATGTAAAAAAATTAGAAAAAAATAACCTACAAGATTTATAAAACTGAAAAAGTTGTAATATCCTAGCTAAAATAGAGTTCCTTGAAAGCTAGAATACTAAAGAACTAAGTAGAGACTGTTCGCTGAGTTCTTGTATATAAGTAACAAGCCCGGAGAAGGGTTAAAATACCCTTTTATTCTAACTCAATCTAACAGATGGCCCCTCTCGGGCGTACAAGAAGCCTCCACTTGGGCTCTAACTCGAAAATCTAATGCTAAATAAAATTAACCAGCCGAAGTTGCACGGAATCAAACTTGCGTAGTTGGCTCTTACTTATGCATCACCGGCGTAAAGTAGCAGACACGCATTATGTACGGGCGTAGAATAGCAAACTTAAACTAATAGCAACAACGGTGGCTGAAAGGCAGAACACGCTCTCCTACTGAAGTAACTCATAGACCTCAGCTTAACTACTCATTTCTACCTTATTTGCATAAAGCGTAATACTTAAAACTCATTCTGGTAGGAAACGTAGTTAGGAAATTAGAAGGTAAAGAAAATGCTTGTTCCAAAATAAAAATAACTGTTAGGAAAGTAAAGTAAAGCCCTAAAAAGTAAAACTACGGATTTCGTGTTTTTTGCATAATGGCCAATGATACATTTATAAAGATTAAAAACAAGTTTGCATTCCCTTCCTCAAATGTTTTTTATTAGTTGGACTGAGCCTATTACTGATGCGACGGAAATTAGCTATCTCACATATTCAAATCAATCTGTTAAAAATAATTTACAAGTGATATTAATAACTAATAACTCATTATATTTGATAAACAAGTTTAAAGTCTAGCTTTATATTTTCAGAAAAAAGTATAAATGTTGATGGAACTCAATTTCTTTGATGTTTCTTTACATTTCAAAATTTCATTTTTAAATTTTTCTTTTTTTAATAAGTGTAAAACCTTTTAGCAATAAGCAATGCTTAGCACATAATTTTAAACAATGAGAATATGTTCTGAACTTAGCATTTTAATTTTTTGTTGTAACTAAAATTTGATGATTCACTATTAAATTATTTAAGATGATGATTGTTTACAAGTATTATTAATTTATTTCAGATAAACATCATAATTTCAAGAAATTAGAACCACTTGAAAACAGGCTGTTATCAGATTTTGATTTTGACTCCATAATGCTCTATGGCTCTTCGGCTTTTAGCAGCAAGAAGTACTTGAAAAGCATGGAGGCTAAAGATGGAAGGGCTTTGAAAGAAGTCCATGATAAACCCGGCCTTTCCGAATCTGATATTCAGAGAATAAAGTTATTGTATAACTGTTGATAAATATGTTCAATGTGTCCTTTTTTCTTATACAAAAAGTTGTATATTTGTCTGAAATGTGAACAACGGAAGTTACCGTTGCAAAACTTGAGAAGAATTTGCTATCTCCGTTTTCAATGTCTTTTATCTAATCGATTAGGGAAATTCACACGAGAGGTATTTGCCTAAAAGCAAGTAATGCTTTTCATGGAGGATTTTCTAGGGCAGCTGTTCTCAAACTTTTTGCGCCACGGCACTTATCTGGCCAAAAACATTTCGCAGCAAGCACTCTTACTCTTAAAGTGCTTTGAATACAAAAAGAAGGAAAAGAAACGGTGCAATTTTATCTTTCATTTGTTTTCAGTGTTATGAATGAAATTGTTTGGATAAATTTTTCGTAATTTCCTTTATGTTCCTAAGAAATTTAGTTCATTTTACCCTCAAATCACTTGACCCAGAAAGTTTCTCCTGTATTTATTTTTTAATATATAAGTGTATATTGAGAATGCAGACTCACGGAGATAAATTGAAGTAAAGCGCACAAGTTTGTTCACTGCCAGCCTTGCTAACAACATCGAACATTGTTTTCTGAATTACACCTGCATCCAGAACTCTTCTTGGCCTCCTTCGCGGTATTCCTGTTTTCAGCTGCTATCTTCGCTGATCGAAGTCAGATTGTGAAGAATTTTATTCGTCATTCCAGTAAGTTTATGTTTCGAGTCGCAGGAAAACGGGTTCATCATCCAGCTGTATATGTCATCAATGTCTGGAAAATAATCAACTATGCTTTGTTTTAAACTTTGTAATTGGGCAATAACAATATCGAGGAAAGTTGGTTTGAAAGTTGATCTCATTTATTTTGACAAATTCTTGCAATCAAAAGAAGTCTGTTTCTACTCTCAACACACGTTTTAAAAAGTGTAATTATTTTACGCAAGACTCTTACTTTTTTCTAATTCTACTCATCCTTTTCCTTGAAGAAATGTGTGGTTTCATTTAGTTTTTCAAAGATATTGGATAGGTATCCCAATTTAAACAGCCAATCGACATCAGTTTATGTTGAATAAAAGACTTCTCTGTAAATCTGATCACCAGCACATCTTTTAATTCAAACAGTGTAGCTGATTTTTTCCCCTTTGATAGCCACCGCAATTCTGTCTGCAGCAAGCTTTTAACTTTTATGTATTTTCATGCCTTCCTTAATAATTGTACAATTTTTAGCCGACTTTTCTTGATTACTACCATGGCATGGCATATGCTCGCCGCATCCGGTTTGAGAACCTAGGTTCTAAGAAAAACAGGATCGTACATGGAAAACTGTGAAAACTACCATGCAGCCAGCTCGTTCATCCGGACTTGAATCCGGAGCATCACGGTCTTTTCATTCTGGGCAATTAGTAAGCGCCCTCTTTTCTTTTTAATTAACTGCGTGTAATAATTCTTCTAACCAACAACTGTTAAACTTTCTTACAAAAAACATAACTTCAAAATACCCTTTTGTAACTGTTGTTTTGAATTTTGGAAGGTTCTTGAGAGTGATACGCAGTACTGCAAAACCTGATTCCATACCAAAGGAGTAAGTACACGTGCTGTAAGTTGAAAGCATACGATTTAATGGATTCTTTCTTGAGTTTAACAAAATAGACGAACATATAATGTCAGGCTATGACACGTTTGTAAAACCATATGATGAATAACAGGTTGTGAGAACACAGAATTCTCACAGTGAACACGGTGGCTGTATCGATTCTTAAATCATTATCGCGCCTTGCCACGTGCATCGCAGTGGATAAAAACTGGAAGGACTGGTTTTGTCTTTCTCTTTCTGCCTGTCGTCGTGTTAACGAGTGTGTGGGCCTTCGGGCCACACACACACACAGCTCTTTCCATCGTCCGCGGTACTCGATCTGATGGCCATTTTCACAAGATGGAGGAGAAAATATGTTCTTGTACGAAGAATATAAGAATTCAGGTAAACTTTACTGATTAGGCTGCGAGGTAAAAATTGTTCCTGTGCTGTGACTCAACGTGTATAATCCTGACAATTGGATGTTTCGAAGTGACGACCATGTGCGCCAATTTCAAGCCTATCTAACGAAATTGATTCTCTATCACGAGTAATTGACTGCATACTATTAAGCTTCTTGCAAGATGCTGATAATAATGTACCTGTGATGCATCAAGATTAGGAATTGCAATATACCGTAAAAAATGAACGCTGTGACAGTCCCGTAGGACTAACGAGTAGCACATGCCGAAGGGCATTCATAAATGTGGTGTTGCTGGCCGTGATCGTATAAAAGTAATTATACTAAGTATCAAATGCGAATTAATTCCGCGTAAAAGTTAAACTAAATTTTAGTGGTTAGTACATTGCATGATTATAAATTTGACTGGTATAACATAAGTTGAGTCTGCTTGGCAGTTCTTTTGGTTAGGCAGGTAGTTGGCGACGTAGTAAATTATCCGGTATACTATGTTAGATTGCTGTTACAATCTAGTCTCCCATAGTTACATTCCACTGCAAGTTTCCTTGCTTGAAATCGCCACAGAACGGAATGATTTACGACTGTTGGCCACGTCTATAAGGCAGAGAGAGGATGAACAGTCTTCCCCTACATCGGAAGGATACACAGTCTTCACCTACAGTCTCTGGAAGACACTCAGTCTTCACCTACAGTCTCTGAAAGACACTCAGTCTTCACCTACAGTCTCTGGAGGACACACAGTCTTCACTTACTTTTGGAGGATAATACAGTCTTCACCTACTTCTGGAGTGGATTCTATTGTCAGAATATATATTTTACCTTTTTTCTGCTCAGTACAACCACAAAGGAGGAATGCAAATTTCCCAACAGTAACAATTTAATTTTTGCTTTAAAAAAGGAGAATTAAATCGAATCAAGCCCAAGGAATTCTGTAAATAAATTTTAACCTCATCAAATTATGCATCGATTATTTGATTATTTTACTTAGATATCTCTGTAAGATAATATATATTCTAAAAGTAGGTCACGTGACTACCGTTAAAAGGATGTCAAGTCCATTCCATTTGTCCAATTTAGAAAAACAAAAATGTTTCACAGGACTTTCTTTTGCCATCTTTTACTTCGTGGCGTTATTTTTAACTAATTAAAAATATTATTTTGCTAAATTTTATATTTGAAGCTCGTTTTTCCTAGTAATTTAACATTTTACTGTAATCGTTTCTCTTCTCAAGTAATTCAACGCAAGATAAATAACTGTAATTCTAAAAATATGTTAACTAGTTTTAATTTTCATAGGCGTAGCATTATAATACATTTTTCATGAATTTTGCACCTACAGTGGTATCTCGGCATACGTCTGCTTTGAAATGCATCCAACATGGTATACGTTCTATTTGGAGGCGAAAATTTTTGTTTATGCGACATTTGCTTAGAATACGACTGAAGTTCGATGAATTACGACTGCAGACTTCTTTTAAAACCATAAACTTCTTTTAAGAAAGAAATAGACTTCATGAGAAAAATCTATAACAGTGCAAGTCAGTGATTCTTGGTGACTTCGAGAAAATATTCCGTATGAGCTGGGTTAAAAGTCTCTATTATCTACATTCGAATACATCAGTGTCAGATAAAATTAATCTATTCCCATAGTATACTAAGATAAAAATTCCATTTCTTTTCTTAATTTTCTGATTCAGCGTGGTAGTGTTATTGAAGTTAAATCTTCCAAACGTGTAAAACGTTATTAAATCAAACAATATAACTATTTAATAAAAATTTGTTCCCAAATCTTTACAAGGCGTTGTAAAAGATAAATAAGAAAATATTTGAAAATTCAATGATTTGCAGTGGCCGTAACGTAAAAATTGGTAATATTCAAAGTTTTCAAAAGGTTTATGAAAACACGATAACATCACAGTCATCCGCAAATAACTTCCATCGAAACTGAAAACTTTATGCGCAAAATTTACTTGGGATGCAGGAAAAGAAACATTAGAGGATTCAAAATGAAGATACTTTCCGGAATGAAATGTACAGTATTTCAGGAAGTATTCACTTAACTTCTAACTTGGTTGTAATTTTGGTAAATCATGTGTAATGAGCATATGTGAGACACGAAATGCATTCGGAACCCCATTCGGGACATTTTCAGAAAAAATATTCATTTCTTGTTCATGTTTTCCAGATACTAATTTTGTTGGAAATCTGATTCCCCCCCCCTTCTTACATGTTATATTTCACTATTGCTCTTTGGCGTGGGAGGAAGTTTTTTCATGTGTACAAGAAAATGCAAGATATTTTTGTAAACTATTTCAAAGAGTCAATCTGTGTTAGTAATATTATGAATCATCCTGCTCAATAAAAAGGAGTGTTCTGAATATATTCATGTAAATGTCTGTAGTGTAAAATAATAAGAAATGAAATGCTGTTGGTACGTATTAGACAGGAGTAAACAATAATAAGAAATTTCGTATTTTTTCATATGTATTTGAACTAAACTGGCTAGAGATGTCCATATATTAGTTCAAGTAGATTTTATGTCATGAACATTTATTATTTCTGAACTATAAGATTTAATTCAAAGTCAGTAGATCTTTAAAAATTTCGTATAAGTCGGTATTTATTTTTAGGGAAAAAAGAATCAGAAATATTAACAGGGACATGTTTTAAAACATGATAAAGGTTAAATGTAAGGGAAAATGTCTAAATGGAAAATAGGAAGTTTAAAATTTACATTTCTTTGACACGTTTCGTGAATCCTTTGATTAAAAATGAGATGTGTAAAAGAGGATCCGCGACGTTTTGTATAGTGTTTCAAGAAGTTAGTATAATGCATTAGAAGAGAAAGTTCGGAGTATCACCTGTTAAGTGTTAGTAGTATGGTGTAATATATTAGAAGAGAAAGTTTTGCGTATCTTAAGCATTAGTAGCATAAACAAAAATAAAAAATATAATATTCCAATTAAGCTATATGGAATAAACATCGTACTTATTGCTTTAAATTTATAGAAAATATTATCCATGAAAGCCTCTGGAGGG